AAGTAAATAAATTGCACAGTGCTAAACAAAGTAGACACAACAGATTCTAATATGTAATAGCTTTGTAAGAATTGCTCTGAGAATGTGCATTTTGAGATGTTGCAGAGAGATCTAGCAAATGGCAAAGACCAGACCCCCCCCCAAACTCAGATAAACCAAATAAAAGCAGTAAAATTATGAGTTCCTTCTCTGTGAAAAAACCATCAGCGCTGCAGTCTTCAAATGAATACAAGCGTCTGTTTAAGCTTAGTTCTTGAATTTACCAAAAGGTTCACGCAGCACCTTTTCATCCCAACTACAAATAATTGCATCCAGAGAAAATTTAAGTGGCTCTCATTTTGAAAGGTCTCTGGCACTGCCAAGCACTATCTTCTTTCTTACTGTATAAAACTCTTATGTTATGTCCTACAAAGTGTCCTAGAGCTAGATGTTCTTCACTTGTGCCAGCCTTTCACTCAAGAATAAAATAAACCAGGAGGGGAGGAGGAGGGGGGAAAGGGAAGTTTGTGGTCTACTTTTCCTAATGACACCTTGTTTTGTAATTATTAAAAGCATCACAGTCCTTAGACAGCTGCTGACATACAGAAAATAATGTCCTTGAAACTGTTTGTTTCATCATATTTTAAGAATTAATACCTAAGGTCATGTTAATCAGTTTCTGATATATGTAGTTTTCAAAATGCACTTCAGGGAAGAAAATGCTGGAAATGACTAATAACAACAAAGATATGAACTTTATTCATTACAAATCTAACTCCAAATTTGAACATTATCAAAGGACTTTGCCATCTGAAGTATTTAGGAAGGCTTAAATAAATAATAAATCCTTCATTCAGTGAAATAGAACATCCTCTTGTTCCAAGCAAAAGAGTTCAAATTTATTAATTTTGTAGCTATATTTTAAAATGAGTGTCAGCCCCTGCTAGATGACTGCATGATAAGTGTCCTGAAACTTCAGGAAAAGGCACTAAATTTTTCACAGCATTTGTGTTTCATTTTCAGTATAATAAAAATATGGTGCCCTTTTAATAATGAATAATAGATCTCCTGGTATGATTTACATGAGTGGATTAAATGTCATGTTTGAAAAGTTGCTGTTTTATTCATATTGAATTTCCCTCAAGTAAAACAAAATGGTACCCAGCTACTGTTATAATATTGCTAGCACCTCGCCACGCTGATACATAAATATTAACCAGTTGATAAACTCTTTAAAAACCCTCAGTTCTGTGAACTGTTCTGTCAGCAATGGTATCTTCTCATGCATATGAACAGATTCCTGGAACTATCCCAAGTTCCAGATATGTTGGGGAAAATGTATGGCAGCAGCCCTGACACACTTGTGGAGCTCTCACCTCCTTTGCTGAAGTGTCAGTTTTGAGAGTCTCTCACAGAATAAGGATTCATCAATCCTAATGGATGCAGCGAGACCAGGGTTAAAAACCCTTTTGGGGAGCTCAGGAGCCTTGAAACAATTGTCCCTGTTTCTGTTCAGCAGTGCTGGACTGACTTCCCAGGTGACTGGACAGCATAATGAGTGTTTTTTAAATGTCACTTGCAGGCAGCGTCATTGGCTTACAGTGCCCTTCACAAAAGCTGGAAATTTCCTACGTAAACTTCCCATTCTGAATAAAAATTCCACTTAATAGGCAATATTTTTTTCTAAAGAAGTGTTTCAGAAATTGCAAATACTTGAAATAGGGACACATTCCTTAAAAGTTCCTACCCTGTAGGCAAAGTCAACAATTTTCAACTAAATATTTTGATCCTGATAATTGAAATTATAGTTGAAAAACAGGTTTTTTTAAAGAATAGAAGCATTTTTATGACACTCCAATTTTTATTCCAATAAAGCCAATGAATATTTTGATTCTGAAAAGTGAAGATTTGTTCTTATTGTTGTAATTCTTTCATACAATTATTTTAATGTCTACTGAACTTTAGAAAAGCCAGTCAGGAAAAAGAAAAAAAGAAAAAAACAACCTAAGCACTTTTTTTTTACAAATGAAATTAAACTTTTGCATACTGCAACTCCTTTGTGCTCTTCAAGTCACCACTAAGGTTAAAAATGTAATCTGGACTTGCTAACACTGGGACATAATACTGTGGAGTAAAACACTGCTTTTAATACACCATGATCAAAAAAAATTACTCACTGCTTAGGTCTTATCTATAGTAGGATCTTAGCCACCATGAGAGAGCAATAAGGAAGTTATACCTGTAAAATCCTGGTTTTAGTGTAAAGATGATGCAGCCACATCTGTACAGGTCCTGCCAAGGACAACCTAGCTGCATAACTGCATTACTCTATGCACAGTAAGCATCTCATCTCCCTTCCTATCCTCTCCTTACTCAACTTCCATTCCAGACCTAAAAAAAACCTGGCAGTGCAAAAATATATTGGAATTTTAGGAACAAAGCTTCTTCACCACCAGTTGACCTACACCACAATTTTTTAATCTCAAATTCACATTGAGTTTGTTTCATAATGTAGGTGAAACTTCAGAACAGCTCTCACTTTGCCTAAACCATACAGACTTAATCTATCAAGGCCTAAAGCCCACTTACATAAACTAAATACATGAAAATATCCTAGAAATGCTGAGTCTAAAACAAGTTCCCTTCAGATCATGCAGTTCATTGCTATTCATAAAATTGTAAAAAGTCATTTGAAACAGCAATCGTGTTTTGCCACAATCCAAAGCATTCATATATGTTTCTTTCAGCATAACTTAAAAAAAATAAATGGCTTGTGTGACTGTCTGGCCTTACTGAAGGATAAATAAAATTCAACTGGAGCTATTAGGAGCCTGTGTCTAGTGTGTAGTCAGAGGTTACTGGGGGAGGTAGGTTGACAAACTAAAAAGGAGGACAATGAAGGAACGGAAAGAGGGGAAGCTGGCAAGCTGGAGCAAAGAACATTGATTAATGAACAAAAAACATTTTTGAAAGGTCGGGCGTGCAAGTCAGACTAGCCCTGAGGCAGATCTAACTTACATGACCAGCACTTTCTGTACGCAGCAGGTAACCCACGCTGACACCAACTTTGCTGACATGACAGGGTTATTATTTTTGGAAGGATGTAGTGTTCTGGAACAATTTCTCTAATATATTAGTTAAAATTAGGCTTTCCTTCAATATCAAGCATGCATGTCTTCATTTTCACCATGTTTACACTGAACTGCTATTATTATTCTGGCCAGTGGAAACAAAAGCATATTCTTCATTTATAAGCACTTCTGTTTCTCACACCATAATATATCCCAGCGCAGCAGGGCTGTGTGTAAGGTTCTGTTCAAACCCAGATGCTCACATGGAGGTCACCACTAAGACCTCACTACTTACCCTAAGTCTTGTGGTAGATGCCAACCATCTGAAGCCTAAAATTTGCCTCATTTCTCAGCACACAAAGTAAAGGTTTCTTCTCAAACATATCTTAAGGTTTTGAACCACTGCCGAGGTGGAAGAGCAGAAAGGTAGAGTCACCCAGGGTACAACATACTCTGTGTCACCAAAATGAGCTGGTGAAAAGGGTTCTCTAAAATTATGGCTTTTGCTGTACATCACTGAGTAATGAAGATAGGGAATTACCAGAAGGTCATTGCATCCAACTTCTCCTGTTCCTATATTTTAAGGGAACTTGCCCAATTCCTGCATGCCAGTTCACTAGTCTAAAAATGAAGTTTGGTGAAGATGATAATTAAATGTCCCCTGTGAAGCTCCAAGAAAACTTGGAAGCAAACGTGAAAGTGCAAAATCTGCAAAGACCTGGGAGAAATGTGATGCTGAAAGTAAGAAGCAGGACATGCTAGAATCCTTCAGCCCTAGCATCCAATTGTCTCCTTTCAAGACAGTACTTCAAGGCAAGTGACCCAGATGGGTGCATCCTGCCTGGGAGGGAATCACAGCTCAGTGATTTCTCTGACAGATGCCTGGATTTGTTTTAACATCTTGTGAAAGTCCCATTCACAGTTTCCCTCTGTATACCTGCAATTCCTTTTGCACCAATAGCTGTATTTACAGACTCTGCTCATTATCAATTACAGGTGATAAACAATTAAAAAGCAGAAAATGTGACTTAGCAGAAGTCACATAACAAACCCAACATCTGAAATTATCTGTCTACAAGTAACTGAAGGCATTAGTGCCACACATAAAAGTTGCTTTATTTGAAAGCTCTTTGGGATAGGTGCTGTCTGTCTGCTCTGGATCTACACAACAGAACATGTGGAGGAGGAAATCTATCATCCAGGTCATACCACAAAATAAACAACTGAAAACAGAAAAGACTCTTCATTCTACCAATGCCTCATAACATGCACAAAACCAAAACAAAACAAAAAAACAAAACAAAACAAAAAGCAAACACACTGAGAGAGATGAAGATTGTTTTTCAAACTGTAAAGTAGCCTTCATGTGCCAGAGAGTTTATCTGAAACCAATGTTCCAACCAGCACCAGGCATTAGCTACAAGAGTGAGCAACTGACACACAACAATCCTGCCATGCACAGCGTGCTTAGGCAGGAAAATATGTGTGCCTCAGTTGCAAAAGACAGAATAGAGCCTCAAGTGTTTGGGCTCCTTCCAAAATAATCCAAATGCTGCTTTTTTGGCAAATGGGGGTCAATGGAGCTAAAAACTCACAGAAGGATTTGGGCATTCATGTGTTTATATACACCCACTCATTCATTTATTATTCTAAATCTACTTTACAGAAATCAAATTACATAGCTGACAAGCTGCATAGATAAGAGAGAATAAAAGTAAAATTTAAAATTAGTTGACAACACTATATGATGTAGCCCATGTTTGGCACCCTTAAAGTGAGTGATTAGGGTTAACCTGGGGGAAAAAAATGCACCTTCCTAAATTGCACCTTAAATTATTAAATAAATTATTAACATGATGGAATACATTAAATATATAAGCCTAAAGGAGAAAGGGCGGATGTGTTTTAACTTTCAAAGCAAAGACAGCATATTTATGAAGTGTTGCTTACTGTCTGGATACTTTGTCCAAAGTAGATTTCAGTGTTGTAGAAGTTTCCACCATGACTAACAGGCCGTGTCATCCTGGCCTGAGGCTGCTCCTCCAGTTCAGGCCACTCCACCAAGGCACCACCTAAGCGGCTGAGGACAGAAACTTTGAGACTGTAGAGGCCTTTAGGGACCTTATCTTTGACTCCCCTCAGGCATCTGAGGTGAATTTCTAGTGGCTGTGGCATCTTGGAGCAGTCAACCTAGGGAGAAGGCTCAGAGTTACTGATCTGGGCTGGGCTCACTTTAACCATACAATTAGCAAGGACAAATTTCTTCCAGAAAATAACTACTGAAAAGCAGACAACACGCTTCTTGTTCAACCTGCAATTACCTACTGCTTATGGAGGATCTGCAATTAGGGAGGTCAAAAGTCATAGAGATGGCAGATAAAAGAAATAACAATACAAATACTACTAATAAAATGTTCAGCATCCTTGGGGGGAAGGTGGAGCTGGTGAAGTATGACACCAGAAGACACTACCCTACAATAATGAGGCAAAATTAACTGGAAAACAATACCTTCAAAAATACAGCTTGCTTTTCAAGACTGGCACAACACATGATGTGATGAGCAGGCTGCAGGCACAGAGTGAACATGGCAGGCCATGTTTTTATACTAATTATTAACCTTGCCAAAGCTATTAGTGTTGTGTCGCATGCAGACTATCCCTTCACCTTCTGATTATCATAATCAGATTCTCTTAAAAATAGTAATCAAAGTGCAACACGTGTAGAGTTTAATAAATACTCCCTACGGGCACCTTTATTCCAAGTCCAGACAAAAGAAAACATCTGCCACTTGCTGTTGACAAGATGTTGTCTGAGTTTCAGAATATTTAGTAAGGAAATGCTTTTCTGGTGCTTTCCTTGTATACTGAACTTCCCAATGTGGAGGTTTGTGGAGGGGAACAGGCACAATGGCATGACCTTTACCAAACTTTGCCTGAATAATGGTATAGGGTCTGTCCCACTGTACCAGAAGATATTTTGGCACTGCCCAAATGCAATCTGCAGGGTCTGGCGCACAACAGGGACTCCCAGTTAGGCTCCAATGTTGATTTGAATGGATAAAACTCTTTCTGCAATAACTAATTATATAGTGCTTTAAATCAGAATTGTTTTTTCTCTTTTCCCCAAGAAATCAATTCCTTGCATTATTTTGAGGAAACACTAGTGCTAGGTCTTCTTTTAATGCAACTGGATATCAGAATCCATGCCACACTTAGGAATCACATGGCTACCTTGACTACTAGGTTTAGTGGTCTCACAGTAGCTAATAATCTCTTCTTTAATCTTGTCTTGGATTTATTTTGGAAGAGATAGCATATTTCCATATAGATAGAAAGCTTCTGGAATTAAATTAAGCAGTTAAATAAACAGTTGAATTTGTTAAACTTCTTTTGTTTCTCCACACAAACCATACTTAACAACTAATCTGAATGACAATTATTTTCAGCTTAATTAGAAAATCTTAATTAACAATGAAGATTTAACCTTAATATTTTTGGTTTCTGAATCGTATATAAAAAAATTAACATTATATGAATAAATAAGACAATCTTTTTAAACCTCAAGGCAGGATTACTGATGCAGGCAGCCTTCGTTATTAAACACATTCTAAATTAAACGCCTCTATGAATTTTATACTGAAATATATTGTGATAGTTTTGCATGCCAAATGTGACATTTTGTATTTTAGATTCATCTTCTGTAGTAACTTTGGAAATGTCATACAAACAAAGATTTTGTCATTTACCAATGGAATTACTATGCATGGCCGGTTAGCCATCTCTTTTCTGGCTCTTCTGGTTGTTTCAAGTCAGCAAGCCATAAAAAATCTTTATCTCTCTGAAACACAGCAATTTGGAAGATAATCGAATAGTGACTGGGGGGCAGAAACGCCAGTCTGAGGAATTATACCACAATCTCTCTTGCATTTACAACCTTCCTCAAAGCGAGTGTCAGTCGAGTAGGAAAAGGAGATAGAAGATTCATCATATTTCAAGCCTGTCTCATTTGCATGGTGGCATAGCTGTCTCATCTCCTGCTGAAAGACTTTGCTTGGCCAGCACTGACAAAGTGTTTTGAAGAACTCTTGCCATGCCCAAATGATTCATCATTAATAGCTTTAGACATTCTCTTTAAGCATATGGTTACTTTTGCTGGAAAGCATATTTTGAAACTGCTAAATTCTATCCTCTTAAACTATGAAAAGAGAAAAAAAAAACAAAACAAAACAAAAGGCAATAATGGAATGCAATTGATCCAGTGATTTAGCAGTTCATATGAGGGAAAAGAGCACTCATATAGAATCTCACCTTCCCACGAGGTCCTGCTGCTCCATTTAATCCAGTATTCACATCTGTAAGGTTACCAAAGCTAGCTACCATTTCTTCTTCAATTCCACTCTGCTCTGTTTTCAGTAGCTGATTTCCTACTCTGCAGAGGTTAGGAAGGGAAGAAGAATGGAAAAGAAATTAAGTACAATGCACACACAGAAATCACTTGCTGTTGGAAATACAACAGTGTGATGTTTTCCTTGAACATACCATAAAACTTGCAGGGCACCCAGGAGAAACAAGAACATGCTAAAGCAGAGAAATATCTAGGCTTCAAAAAGCAGCATTAAAAAGAAAAAAAAGAAAAAAAAAGAAAAAAAAGAAAAAAAAAGAAAAAAAAGAAAAAAAAGAAAAAAAAAGAAAAAAAAGAAAAAAAAGAAAAAAAAGACCAGTATTTGTCAGTCTGTGTCACAGGTCGATATAAGGAACCCCAGCTTCCACTGCCTGTCTGCAATCAACTCTGTCTGGCTTTGGGACTTGGGATCCAGGTTAAGAATATTTCAGTAGGAAACCATTGCCTCTGTCACCACCTTGAAAACTGACTGACAGCTTCAATAAACTTGGACAGGTTTTTGGAAAGCACTGAATTCTTTGGGGCCTAGGTTGCTCAAAACCACTAAAAATAATTAATTCTGTTTTTAAAAATTTTACTTTTTGTTTTTATTTTTTTTCAAAAAAGTCTTGTAATTTTATATGTATATCTTACATAAATTATAAATCTTCAGAATATATACAGGACAAGAGCTCTATATACAAATTATACACATGCCCATACACAAAATTTCAGGTGAATATGAACCACAGAACTTTCCTTGTTATTCACATGTTAACTTGTTTTGTATTTAAAGATTGGGGGGGAGGGGTTAATATATAAACTCAAAGTTGTTGAGTTTTTGTTTTTGAAGAAAGGTCACTATAGCAACACAGAATATCAGCAAATAGTGCAAGAATAGCCCAACACTGGATAACCCAATGCTGCCCTTCTTAGTTCACAGGATACACAAAAGACACAGTACTCTATGGAGAAAACCTCATTCCTAGAACACAGCAGGAGCAAATGCAAAACTGTCATTTACAATGAGCACTATAAAGCTGCATGCTTTGGCAATCCCATCCCATTTTTCAACAGACACAGAACCATGAGTAATTCCTCTGTTCCTAAGTGTCATCAGCATCTAAATATTATTGACCCTAAGTAAAAACATCTGTAGATGCTCTGCTGGCTTCAAAACATGTCAGCTCTTGCTTCCACAACATGCTTTAGGAGGCCAGGGAGGGTCAGTCAGTCACACCAGTGCTGGTGATATTCCAGCCACGCTTGCAGGTGGAGCCAGGGAAGGCACAGACAAAGACATGGTGGGTCTCAGAAGGTGGAGGCTGAGCTGGCTGGCCCTGAGCCATGCTGGAAGTCAAGGGAACTCTCTGCAGCTTCTTGAGAGGAGCCGCAAGGAGCCAAGGAAAAACCACAGCATCAGGTGCACTTGCAATGCAGAATTGACTGGGATGTCTACAACACAGGCATCAGAGAACAGGCAGCCTTAGGTTCCCAAGCAAATGCAATCTGTTAAGTCTTTAGCCACAAAAGAAAATGCTATCACTCGGTGTTCAGTCAAAAAAAAAAAAAAAAAGAAAGAGAAGAATCAAATCAAGACTCAAAATCAACAACATTTCTCTAGACTGCATTTCTGAAACATTCCTTCAGTATTTTCTGTCTTGCTTTTGAAAAATTCAATACCAGCACGATCATTCCCATTTTCCTCCTGTGCATGCTAGGTTATATGAGATGTCTCCACATTTGTAAAGATTAACATGCAACATGGTTCTTCATTAAGAAAATTACAGTCACGCTAAACATCCCCAACTCATGCATGCATACTGCTTAGGTAACATATGTTTCAAATTCCCCTCTTCTGAAACAGATGCTCCTGCCCCCAAGATCACAGGACATTGCTAGAAATCAGTTTCTATTCAGACCTTGCCTATTTCTTTTCTTTTGAATTTGGACATATTTACATATTGCCAGCAAAATTACCACTGCTTCAGAGCTAAACTGTTTTCCAGATTCCTCTACAGTAGAATTGTATCACATAAATTCCCAAGCAATAACTGAATCAGTTGGAAGGTCTGTGTGGATGCTAGTGGCAATGAAGTATATGGAAATTTTGCCCAAGCCAGGACTGACGAGAAATAAGGACAAGATTCAAGTGCTAAGAAGTGAACACATGAAGCACAGGGTCAACCATATCTGAAGTTTTATTCCTGAGTTTTAATCATACCAACTTGGGTCCAGTTGTCCTGAACAGAAGTATAACAAAAGATGACTCTTGAATGGCTCCAACTAACTCATAGATCTGAAACATCAGAGAAGTTAAAGCATTCTCAAGGAGAGAAGTCATTTGGAACTTTGTACTTACTTCACTTCTCATGATGGAAATTATTTCACTTAATTTGGTTAGAGTTGCATTGACACAGGGGTTCATTAGGATGCCCATTTGCTTGCAATTCAATTTAAAATTAAATACACTTTGTTGTTGATTTTATTACTTTTAAACTACTGTATCTATTGCCTTTATTAGCTGCTAATACACAATTATGAAGGTAAACAGTTTTCATTACTGAACATCAAACATTTAAATAACCACATTTGATCTCTCCTAGTTGCACCATTTTTCTCCTTTCTCTGAGTATGAGATTGAAGACAATAATTTATTCCCTGAAGTTTGGCCTCTTTTGTGCTCAGCAGCATGCTCATCAGCTGTCACAGCAGAACGTGGCTTTTTTTGCTCTATTCATGAGGGTTTTTATTTTGTCTGCTCATTTCTTTACAGATAATTAGATGCATGTATTTATTTGAAGGTCATTGATTGCAAAAATTTTGATCCAATTCCTATTTCCTTCACTCTCTAAGACTAATTCAGAGGTGAGGATGAAGGATGCTGGGACAAGCCATTTGGTCACCTTTTGAAGTGCACTGTGTGTAGCACTTAAAAGCTACAGTCCAAGCTGAGTATCTGAAAACAGAGGTAATCCAAAACAGAGACTTCTTTCAAATGTACAGGCTTAATATTTCTAGTCCTGAGGTCCTTTGTTTGGGAGAAGTTCCCTTCACTAATATCTGTAAAGAACCGAAAGATCTTTAGAAGGAAAGTATACTAGATGGAATTACAAAGTAGCCTTTATCTGACATACCTTTGAAAGAGTTCATGAATCCTGGCTCTCCACTTTTGTTTCTTGTGGTGAGAAGCTCCCTTGTGCTTCGAGTCCCACATGCCAAGAAGAAAAAGAGAAATCAGAATTTATTTCCAAGTGTACAGAAATAGCACGGAAATAAAAGCTGTAAATGTGCAATTTTCCAAAGGATTGCCTTAGGTCTTCTGGTTGAAGCTTTTCAGAAGCAATGAGGAACTTAAGCCACCATTACTTTATTACTTTTTTTTTCCGTAACTTTTTTTCGCCCCTCTGTGTTTTCCCATATTTACTGCATTATTTCCAAGAGAAACTGAGCTCTCATCTTGTTTTAAAAGTTTTTTGGTACAAAGTATATTTGTACACGGTAGTGTCCTACAGTCCTTATTATTGCAAGACCTGTTATTGATCAGACAGTCATGTGCAAGCATACATACATTCAAGTGTGTTTGCATACACACACACAACAAAACAGCACACAAAGCAGTTAGGCATAGACCACAGAACTCACATCTTAAAGCCTTGCTTTAAATCTGCTCCAAATCGTGATGCCTTTCTTGTCTTACCACAAAAGTTTTTAAATGTTTGGTGAGAAGGACTGGCATTTTTTTGGAGGTTACAGCACATGGGAGGCCAACTCACATGAGCAGTCCTCTCCCCCAACAGTTCTGCAGCTCTCCAGCATGAAGCTGGAGGGCTTGAAGTTATTTTTCCCCTGCACAGCAAGCTGAAAAAAGTCTTTCCATCTAGAAGCTAGCATCAGCATGTATTAGGCTGTGCTCTCTGTGCAAAAATTCATAACAATAACTGCTGAGGGCTGTGCACTCATGAAAACAAAATTCTTCCCCATGACCTGCGCTGTTCAGAGATCTTGCTGAACATTCAAGGGCATTTCTCAGGTCTGGATCTTTTCCTGGGTGTTCCTGAGACCAACATAAAATGTGAATACACTACCAATACAGAAGAAGACATCCTACTGTGTACCCTAGACTGTCATCTAAACAGTGTGAAACCATGCTCCACTTCTACTCTCATCAAGCCTCAAGGGCAAAAAGTCATTTTAGTAGGGAGACAATGCAAGAGTCTCCCTACTAAAAACTCCCCATCGGATCTCCATATCTGGCTGTTAAAGTCTCTCGTTTCTTCCAAATCTCTTAAATTTTTTGATAAATTTCTTGCTGTTTTCAAGGAAGCTTGGAAATGTCTGTTGAAGACTAAGGCAAAGCATCCTACTTATTTCCAAAATTAAAATTGTCAGAGTGTAAAAACAGTCAAAACCAACAAAAGCCTGTGCATGTAGCTTTTAATGTAACTTTTTTAACACTGTAAAATTAAAGCAGCAACAACATGGTTGCCTTAAAGAACAGTGGTATTTGTTGGCAGTCCCAACAGCTATCCTCAGACAGATGCAATAAATCCTCCAGGTCAAGCATCACATACAATTACAAAGGTGGCATTACTGAACTAGCTCAAAATGGGACCTTCCAGTTTTCCATATTGCAATTGTGTCATGGGCAATTCTTCCTTCACCACTGCCCCTCCACTGGTGAGAACCAAGCCTTCCCGCTCCTGGACAGCTTTTGGTTAAAATTTACTAGGACTCTCTAGTGCAGGACCCGTTTCTCTCCCATCCCTACTGGCACTGATTTTCTTTGCCAGGCTGGTAAATCACCACCCACACCACATCCCCAGGAAGGGCTGGGAGCTGGCTCTGCTCCGGGTTCCGCTCCAGCAGAGCTGGTCACTGCTTAGGGCTGTCAGAGCCACCCTGTGACACTCCCCACAGCCCAACAGGCTGCAGTCACCAGGGAATTTGGCAAGAGGTCTCCAGTTTTGGGCAGAGGCAGTTAAAGACGAAGTTCAGAAAGTTGGAATAGTGGTTGGTTCACATTTTTTCTCCTGGACATAGCTCTTGGGGATGTCTGTGAAAGCTGTTTTTGAGGTGAGTACTTAGATTAAGAAATAAGATGAAATAGCAAACCCACTTCATGTAAAATATCAAGTAGCCATAACATTGTAACAACATTCAGACATTACCACTCCAGGTTTACACTGAGCCAGTAGTAAAGAAGTTTTCTTTAAAAAAATTTATTTGATCACCAGACTCCCACAGCTGTCCAATCCCCTTGTTTATCTTCCTAATCTTAATTAAATTATGAATATTCAAAAGAAAATATGAATCAGGCTTCTCTGTATGAACTGCACTGTTTTCCATCTCTGCCTCTGAAGTAGCAATGGGAATATGATTTAAAACTATTTCTTCTGGATCGTAGTAAAATATTTGTCACAGTGTGTCATGATAATTTTTAAAAAGCTCTATCATCTACCTAATAAATTTGTTAAGTTTATTCAAATCTTATTGAACAGGAAAAGTGCAATGAGTCATGGTTAATATTTCTTTACCTATACTAAGAAAAAAATATATCAAAAATTCAGTGCTCAAGGTCCTATTCAGAAAACCTCTATAAGTCTGTAATACATCTTCTACATGATTAAAAAAACAGGAAACTTGCTTTAAAATGAATTATTCACCACCTTGAATAAATTTCCATCTTTCCTATTTGCAAAACCCCTAAGTCAGTTATGTAAATTTTAACCTACACTAATTACCTCAGGGGTGTGCAAGCTAAAGGAAAGTAGATGCAGTAGAAAAAAAAAAAACCCAGACATTTCCATCACCAGGAAGCAATTTAATAGAGGAAAAAATGTGTAAGTTTTCAAAAACAGAGCAGCCCACATTCTTTTTTTTTTTTTTTAATGTGGAATAGACATTTCTGCAATGTCCCTTGAATCAGAGCTTTACTGGAATAAACCAAGTGCTTTTCTCAATGGCATGTACCATGGCACACATAGCAAGGCACTTGTTTCTCATCACGACACCAGCATTGTCTAGACTGTGACAACGACCCATTGTTGACAACGGGCGTTCCCAACGAGAAGGCATGAAATGTGGTTTAGCTTCAACTCCCTATAGACATCGAGGGCCCCTTCAGAAAATAAGTGGCTACAATCTGCGAGCTGCTGTTCCGGGAGGTACTGGGAAAAGTGGAGCTGTTTGAAGGCAGAAGGGCTCAATCACAGCAGCAATTTGTCCTACTCCACATCGTGATACCAGGCTCTGCTGTAGCTGTGAGCCAGCTCCTTCACACATCTCTCCTGATTTCTTCTTCATAAGCTACCTTGAGGTCTAATTACGGAAATGGCCTATCTACTGATTTCAGAGCATGTTGTCAAGAGCAGGGCTTGAAAAGGTCTTTCAATCTGGGCTCAGCCTAGACACACACAATGGTGCACATTGTTTCTGCAAAGACAAGAACCTGACTCAACACTACTAATCAATGCTGACTGGATATTTTCAGCGTGAAACTACTTCACAAATGGCAGGATCTGGTTGTATAGTACTTTTCAAAAAATTAGAAAAATTAAACAAATCCCCGCCCAAACACATCCTTTCTTTTTGAAAGCAAGCCCACAAAATTCAGCAAAGCTTTGAAGCAAAATCAATTTGGCTTTTATTGTTCAGCAAAAATGGAGCATTTAGGGAAAACATTTACACACACACACACACCTTTTTGGTCAGTCCTAGTCTATCACAGCCTTCTGCTGAGGAGCTCTCCCCATGGCAATTTTAAACAGCCAGTGGAGCACTGGCCTTGGTGAAAATCTTACTCCATGCAAGGAGTGCTGTAGGGGATCACCTTCCTGCATGTCTTCCTCACCAGGTCAGGGTGCAGGAGAGACAGCATGGAGACACAACCTGTGGGGTCTCCAGCAGCCTCCTGCTGCCCACAGCAATCCCACACACAGAGCTGGTGCTTCCCCATTGTCCCACTCCTTGAAATACCATGTTGGTACATCACAGTGCAGGTAGTACTGACTTCTTTTAGGTTTAAACAGACATCCAATTAAAATCTTTTACTTAGAATTTCCATCTCTGCATCCTAAAATGTTTTTCAGTGATGGAAATCCTGCCCACTCTTTTTTTACGGATGGGAGAAGGGAGAGCTCACTGAGCAAAATATCAGCAAGACTAGAAAAAAAAAGCCCAGATCTCAAGTCCCACTGGTGCCACCTAATTCTTCTCCTTCACAGTCTGGCTGCTGTCTGGAGATTCATTCCCAGTGACTTCAATATCTAATGCACTGTACACCACAAAACGAGTTTAAAAATAAAGAAACATTTGAGATGAGCAACAAAAAAAAAAAACTTGCAAGAAAAGTTAACATTCTTTTCAGGCAAACTGAAGTTCTGAGAGGCTTATCTGCTCCATGGTAACTGTAGAGAGAGATCACAGGGAAGGGAGGCATGGAGAGGTCAGTTAAATGGAGTGCCCTTCATTGGAAGCAAAGACTAAAGGAGCTGGATAAGATTTGCTCTGAAAATTGCACTACTCATTACCTGATGAAATTTGTTTGACCTTGTTAAGGAGATGGCCACAAACCAGAAAGGAAAGTTGCGCCAAACCGTGGACACATGGTAGTATTATTGACGGTGAACTCTGCTAAAAAATCCACCACAAACTCTTAGATGTTTTTTCAAAGAGAAAGAGAAAAGGCAACAAAGAAATTCCTCCCTGACTTTCCTTTCAAATGGAAAATTAATTTACTGTTCATGAGAATCAAATTAAAAACTTAGACAATTGAGTGTTTGTAACAGAACTCAAACTCTCTTTTAAAACTGATACTGCAGAACACAAAGTGAGATTTACTTCAGTTGTTCTACAGCCTTATTACACTGAGTGATACAGATACATTTAGTGACAACATTATAGGCTGATCATTTTGATAAATCTGTAAAGCACTGCATTATTTCTAACAATGCAGCAAAAACTGAGCTACCAGTCACAACAGAGGAAAGTAGCATTCTGCTATCAAGGTAAGTGCTTTTATAAGAATATACATCAAAGACACTAATTTTGAACAGATATGAAAACTAGATCCAGCTGTAAAGTAGGTGTGATAAACAAGGACCTGAATTTTCTCAAAACTCAGAGGTGTTTTCATTCAGGTTTTTGGTCCAAGATGATAGGACTGGACTAACAAAAGAACTTGAATCACTTTGCTTAAGA